ACGAAAGCTTTGGAAAGGCCTCTAATTTATTTCTAAGTGGCAAAGAATTTGTTATGTGTTTGTGGGACAGGAATATCATTTGCCATCCAATTCTATCTGGGATGCAGTGTCTGCAGTTGGAGGTCATGAATAGTGAGCTCTCTAAGGTGGAGGTTGCGTGGGACTATTTTAGGCTCGGAACGAGAAGCGTGGCATAGGTATCAGTAGACATGGGGTTGTAGAGATCCATCCTGTTTCTTGAACACAAAAGGAGAGATTTTGAAGATGTTCCTTGTTTTTGCCCGCAAAAGCAAATCTTTAAAAAAATTAAAATTACAATAAGTGGGGAATGAACAGATGATGTTGGACTTATAGGATTACAACTTGTAGTTTTATTTTTTAAGAAAGGCTTCTCTCTTTCCTTCCTGTTTATTAGAATTTTGTAATCTGATTCAGTCATTAAAGTCCAGACTTTGTGGAAAGACTCACACAAAACGTATGGTAAATTCTTTAAAAACTACAGACAATCTCATATGTGTGTACGTGTAAGGTGCTGCCAGAATTTATCCTCCAGAATTCTGGGATAAAGTTTACACAAAGAGTTGGAAAACGTTGACTGCAAACAGCCATCTCTAGTTTTCTTTGTATGAACTGAGTACTTAAGTTTTCACCTTCATGACACTGAATTCCCTTGAAGAATGACATGAAGGGAAGAAATCGGTTTCTAATTTATATCGTCTTTCTAGTCAGAAAAATCTTGTGTGTGACATGCGGGGCTGGGTGAAGCTAATTTAGCTTTTTACTGTGGTGGTTTTACAACAGCACTGCCTCACAGCTTATACATCTGAACATGGATTTGAAATGACAGACTTCAAAGGGCTGAAAAGGAATCAGGTTTGTTTCTGTGAAAAAATGTATGGAAACGTGAAAACTCTCTTTTCTCCACTCCTGTACTGAAATGCGTATTATGATATGTAGCAATGACCCAATAGCTAAAATAAAAAGCCTCCTTCCTCACTGGGCATACCCCTCACTCCCTTACACTTCAGTAATCTCCTTTTCACTTGAAGAATTTTAGGTCAGAAAAGACTTTTGTTTTTCTTCTGCTGTTTGGGGGAGAGAAAAATAGGCAGTTAGAATAATAGAAAAATAAGGCTGGGGTCTCAAAATTAGCCTTGTGGTGTGTTTCCCCTTACAAGTGTCTCTCTCCCTTTTCTCTTTAAAAAAAATGCACAGGAGAGCCCACTACTGGGTTAGGCTCTATCAGCAATGCTGCGGTAATGTTCCTCCCTGTCTGAACCCCGGCTGGACCAGCTATTATAGGAAGCTAGGGCAGGAAAATTCTCTCTCTCAATTTGACAGCATATGGAGGCATGCCCTCCTTTCTTCGCCTTTTCAGATGCTCTGGCAGAGGCTGAAAAGTGGTCTTTACATGCGCCATCTTCTTCCCTTCAAAGCATCCTCCTAGGAAGTCAGACCTGCAAGCATATTAACAGCATCAGTTGCATAGGCTGCTGATTCTAGTGCAAGAGCTTTGCTCTGAAAGGAGGCCTAGTGAGCCATGGCAGAGCAATCATCATATCTGCTTCCAAGCACATGTTTTGTGCTGCTCTGACATAGGTCGAGGCAGAGGTGTAATGAGCAAACTGAGTGCCTGGGGTGTGAGGAGGGGGTCCCCAGTGATGGAGGAATGCCATTCCATTTGTCCTACTCGGCGAACTCCATCCCACTGTTTAGTGTGGTGCTGCCTTGCCCAGCTCCTGTGGCCAGACAGTGGCAGTGCGGGGCTCCCTTCTCTGCTGCAAAGGGTCTGGGGTGGGGAGAGGATGGGAAACTGGGAGCATCACTAGAATCCCTCCTGCCAGGAGCCTTTGCTGTGGTGGGGGTAGCTCTTTGCTCTCGCTACTTTGGTGCCACACCAAGCAGGCTATCCAGGGCAGGAGGGGAGCGGGGCAAGTGGAATTGTGCTTTCTTTCCCCCAGTTCTGGCACCCCCCCATAGTCAGCACCCGAAACAGATGCCCTGCTTACCCTGCCCTAGTTATGCTACTGAGGTCAGGACAATCTACTGCATCACTGCAGTTCCCCCATTTCTCCAGCAGCAGTAGCTGGGGCCTCCCTCTAGCTTCCCTTTGCTGCTCCCACCTCAGGGGTCAGGGCAGCACAGTGCAGCCTCCAGTGCCAGGGATGAGGCAGAGTGCCGGGGCGTGTGGTGCAGCAGTGAGTTGGGGGCAGCCTAGGCGGATGTGGCATTACAGGGATGGGCAGGCAATCCCTGGGCCTGTGGTCCTCACTTGTGCAGCCTGCAGGGCATGCAGCCCTGGCTGCTTAGAAGGTGAACAGCCCTGATGAAGTTGTGGTGTGTCCGCTTCTAACCATTACAGAGGTGTTGCTTGCTCAGTGCCAACATGCCATTACTGGCTTCCCTCCCACCTGGCGGTAAGACACTATATTAGTGCCTACTGGTGTGTATAACTCTCGTAGAGACCTCCTCTTCTGTCTGTTCCAGACAATGCTGCAACTCATTTTTGTGCACAGAACTAATTTACATGACACTAATTTAACTAATTTAAAAAAATCTAGGCCCTGAGATTCTTCCTTTGGGAAAGAATTTTACATGCATTTACATTTGGGTCTGGCAGAGTCGTAAGTAAAATATGTGCTAGAGACTGAGCCAGCTATAAGCTGTTCTTCAACTTACAAAAGCTGAATGAGGTAGTTAGTAGTGTTAGTCTGAAGTCAGGCAAAGAGCAAGGCAGAGTTGCACCTTACAGACTAGCTCCTTCAGAGAGGCCTAAGCTTGTTGTCTTGTGCAAAAAAGCTGTGCCGTCAGCACAAACCTGCAAAACTGTGCAGCGTGCACCCGAGCTAGTTCTCCCCGCCCTCAGAGGCCCCTTGTTTTTTCTGTTACTTTGTTCCCGCGCAAGCCAAATGCAGGCGGGAAGAATTAACCAATCCATGACTGTGATGTGAGACACGTCATTAGGCCTATAAAATCCATGTGCAAGCTTCTGCCCAGCAGAAGCAGCGCTCGTCAGCGCACTGAGGAGGAACTTCTCCTCCCCGCCTAGGCTTGGCCAGCCTTGACGTGCTTCTCCGCCAGCGAATTGCCCCGGCGTACCCCTTCCCAGTGCGCTCGTTAAGACCACATTCGTCTCCGTATCGAGAGGGTCTCCGCAGCTGTCGATTTCTGTCGTTTTCAGTTTCTGTCGATTTTTGATCTTGATCTTCAATCTCGCAACGCAACGCAACGCAACTGTTATCTGTTACCTGTTTTGACTCGCGCCTATGCGTCCATTCTGCAGACGTGTAAGTAAAACGAAAACAAATTCTTGCAACCATTACGCGTGTCTAGCCGCCTCCTTTGCAAACCTCCGCCCAAAGGGAAAAGGACCCACCAGCTCCACTGATTCGCGCGTGACACTTGTAAGCATCTGATGAAGTGATAAGTTTATGAAAACTCAGGCTTCTCTGAAGGAGTTAGTCTGTAAGGTGCAACTCTGCTGTGCCTTCAACTTTCAAGTGATTGTTCATACAAATAGTGCAGATAAAAGTGCAGGAAATATACATTCATAAACTTAATTATTTACCTGGGAGTTAGGAAGAAAAGCTGGAAACTATCTTTTGTCAGTTCTTTTTGTATTTTATAGCTTAACATTGTCGGCTAGATGCATCTGAAATGCCTTTAAGACATTTTAGAATCAGAACTCGTGGCAGAGGTGGTATCTTTTATTAGACCAAATTCTTTATTTGCAAGCTTTTGGGTACACTCACCCTTCCTCAGGCATAGGAGAATGCAAAGATCGTAAAATTCATATTTCATAAGAGAGCTGAAGGTGTTGTAAGATCTCCTGGTTGGAATACTTCACTTCGTGCAGATTAGGCTCAGGTAAAAGTTAGAACAGTCTGTTTACCTTGATGTTGTCTGGTGTCAAGCCGGATGTTAAATTATGTTTTCTTTTGGTTATGTTTTTTCATATTTCACAGGAGGATGGTTTGATGGATGCTCTCCTGGGCAGGAAATTCTCTTGTGTTGAGGCACTTTGAGCTCTGTGAACATGCAGATTTAGCTGGAATAACAGGCAACAGCCAGGGTGTCAGCTTTCAGGTTCCAAGGTGGTGAATTTGCTACTTTCTTGTAAAATTATGAAGTTTTCATTTAAAAAACAGTTAAAATTTGATATCTGCCATGTTTCAGGGGTACAGGTTGTAGCCATATTGTTCTACAGGCAAAAGGAATCAACTTGTGGCAGAGATGATATCTTTTATTAGACCAACTAGATACTTGCAAAAAAAAAATCTTTATTTGCAAGCTTTCAGGTGCACTCACCCTTCCTCAGGCATAGCAGAATGTTTGTTTGTTTGTTTGTTTCTTATCTTTCTACTTCCTTTTTCCAAAAATATGGGCAATGAAACATAATAGTAACATGTTTAAAAATGGCAAAGTTAATTACAATAACTATATTTGTCCTGCAGCGATAGACTGTAGTAGAAATACTAAATGAAAATAAAAAAAGGACATGGGTTGCTTTGGCGCGTGGAAGGACTTATGAAGCACTCTTCAGAGCACTTTCACTGCATCCTGAAACATGTTCTGTTATGCTGGCTCTGATTTGCATTTGGAGATCTTTGATCTTCACATAGAAACATTTACATAAACTTTGTGACAAATATGCCATTACAAATGTTCTTGTATACCTTTCTGATGGAAATATTTTCTTAAATCAGGAATTGCCTACTGCAGAAGGACCCATAGAGAAAACAAGTGACATGAAATTTCATTTAGGTTTGTATGTTTTTACTTTTTCATTATTAGCAGCCTTGTTTCAAAGAGAAGCAAAAACAAAAAAACCCCAGCTCTTATATTTAAAGGTAACTATTGCTTTAGCTTTGATCTAGACACATCATGTTGTGAAAAAGGTATTTAAGATATCTCTTTGCTCAAACGTATAGTAGTTTTGCTAGTAAAAAGTTCATTTTGTACCTTTTGGTTTTAGTCACATTATATAGTTCTGGTTTAAAGAAGGCATCAGCTTTATCTACTGACTTTAAAGGCTACTGTTATGAGGGGTTAATTTTTTTTTATAGTGAACGACACGGCAATGTGTAATGCATAGTCTTGCTCAACTGTTTATGGATAATTTAGGAGACATGGGGCTATGAACCCAATTCTCAGACAAAGAGAGAATATTAACTGTGTTTATATTATAAAACCAGTTTAAGCTTTATGTTTAATTTTAAAACAGTTATTTATTTATTTTACATATAACAATCCCAGTGAAGATCTCCTTCCACATTAACCATGCCTGATCAAAAGCGGTACAGACATAACTGCATCAAGGAACCATTTTGTGTTCTCAGCACCAGCGGTGGTTTGAAGACGAGGCGGAGAAATGTGCTATTTCGTAATAAGGTACCAAAACGATACTTTCTTGTTTTGGTGGTGGGTAAAAGGGAAGCAGGGTTGGGGGGTTGATTGAAAAGAGTGAAGGTTCACTGTATCTTATAGTTGCCCTGCTCTGAAGACTATTTCCACTGCACCAAATTCTATTCTAAAATCAGCTGTTCTTGTTCAACAAAACAAAACAGAAATTCTGAGATGAACATTTAAGTACTCTACAAGCGTCCAGCTACATTTTGTGACTTGAATTTTGTTGTTTTTATCGTCATTTATAAAAAGCCTTTAAACAGATTTCAGTTTTCTTACCATGTTGCCTTTTCACATTATGACCATATTTCATACACTTTTCTTTTATCTTTAATCATCAGCTGTTTTGGAAAAGGTTAAAAGAAACTTCTGAAATAAAAGAAAACCCACCCATATTCAATTTTAACTCTAGGCACTCACTGACTGTCTCTAAGGAAGTGTTTAGAAGGCTGCTCACAAATTCTCTCATTGCAAAGTGCTAGTTATACTAAAAACACTACATTACAATTAGATGTTTGTGTGTCTTGGTATCGAAACTGCTACAATGACAGCACTTTCCTGAAAAATATCACTGGGGATAGTCATGTTCTTGGCTTTGCCTCTGGCTGTGTATATACATTACAATTATTCAGATCAAGTCTCCCAGGTTTATTTTTCTGAGGGAAAAATGACCTGGAGAGTGCAGATGCTGGGCTGCCAGGGGTCCCTAGAGCATGCAGCCAAGAGAATGTTGCAGGCTTTGAAAAAGCCTGAGCTTAAATTGATTCAATCTTTGCAGGTTAGTCTAACCTAATTAGACTGAACTGATTTGCAAGTGAACAGACACTCACTTTTGATTCCAGAAATGCAGCTGCATGCCTACAGTGACTGAGGCTAGAAGCTGGGGGGCACTAGAGCAAGCAGCCCTCCTTTCCCTTTGACAGCAAGCCACAAGGCTGTAGGCAAGCTGCCCCGGGGGGGTGAGGGGGGTAAGAAAGGGTGGGAGTGGCCAGGCCCTGGTAGGGGGCTATGACTTGGGAGGGGCTGCAGGTACCCCAGCCAGAACGTGCTTGGAGGGGAAGGGGGAAGCAGCCCTTGCCACACTTGTCCCCAAGGGGGGGACGTGGCCAGAGCCGGCTGGCATGGCCCCTTCATCCACCTACCTTGCCCAGGGCTTGAGCTGGGGGGCTGAGCCAGGCTGGCCCGCAGGCACTGCTGAGGGTGGGTGTGGAGGGACTGGCTTGGGTTGGGCCACAAGGGCAGGGCCCTTCCCAGCTGGCTGTGGCTTGGGTTGGGGTCGCGGGGGCTGCACGGCCAGATTGCTCCTGGCTTTCCATGCCCAGGCCGGGCCAGGCTGTCACGGAGCTGCAGCCAGGTGGGAAGGGCCCTGTCCCTACAACCCTGTCTGGCCCAGGTCAGCCCCTCCATGCCCACCCTCAGCTGCGCCCACAGCCAGCCCTGGTGGGCAGATAATGGGGCTGGCCCAGGCCAGGCTGTGGGGCAGGGTCCTTCCCAGCTGGATGCGGCTCTGTGACAGCCCAGCTCAGCATGTGCGGGCGCTGGCTGGCCAAGCAGTGGCATGGAGGAGAAGCCACTGCAGCTGTGGGCGGCTACCTTGGCAGCTGGACTTGCTGCGCAGGGTGAGTCCACTGTGCCTATGGCTGCCTGGGCCAGCTTGCAGTTACCAGTGGGCCTGGGAGCCACGTACTGTGAGGGCTCGTATGTTTACCGCTGTGCCCCCTGCACAGTGCCTGCTGGCTATGGCTCCATGACAGTCCAGCCTGGCCTGGACGCAGGGAGCTGGGAGCAATCTGGGTGTATAGTTCCTGTGGCCCCAGCCCAAGCTGCAATCAGCTGGGAAGGGCCCTGCCCCTGTGTCCCAACCTGGGCTGGCCCCTCCATGCTCACCTCTGGCCATGCCCACTGGGGCAGTCGGGGGTGGGGGGAAGATGGACCCTAACAGGTGCTGCTCTGTCCTGGCCATGCAGACCCCAGTTGCAGTGTCTCAGGGTGAAAGGGGAGGGAGGGGGAATAAACCTGCGTCATGCCAGTTTAGGGGGCCATGCCAGCTGGCATCTGGCCACACCCCCACCCCTGCTCTGGCTAGAGAGCAGAGTGACAAGGCCAGCCTTGCTCTCTGGAGTAGACAGCACATTCCAGCCCAGGGCTGAAAAGCATTCTGGGGTGCTGGGGGACTCTGATTTAACTTAAACCAGGAAGGGGTCTGGGACAGAAGTTCCATAAACTGGTTTGACCCAAATCAGTTGTGATACTACATTCAACCAGGTTTATCTTAAACCAGTTTTGGCCATTTTGAAACTGGTTTACATGCACTGAACTTATGTTGTGTTACAGGCTTAAACCAGTTTCTGATCACTTAAACTTGTTTATGTGTAACTTCTGTCCCTAGCCAGGAAGGGATTGTCAGGGAAGGTAGGCGCAGTGTCTGTCCCATGCACAGAAGAGTCCTCTAGCCTTTCCTGTTCCTTGTGCTGTGATGGAGCCCAGCTACAGCTGTGCTTGTATGCTTCCCTACACCCAGATTCTGAAGTGTGAGTCAGGGAACAAGCCAGGAGCAGAACATGCCCCCTAAAATGCTTCAGTGCTGGGCTTTTCCAGCCTGAAACACTCAGGGGTGTTTTGCTCTTGACTGAGACTGACACAGACTCTCCCTCCCAGGGGGAAGAGAGGGAATAGAAGCAGAGCATACTGGGATTGCAAAGGTTGAGTCTGTCTCTGCTGCCTGTATAGAAGTTCTGTCTCCTGAGTGTTATTATCTGGGGAGATACTTCACTCTGACTGTTCCCAAGTTATTTTTCTCCCCAAGTGGCCACTTTTACTCTGGGAGAAAAGTTATGAACTTCTGTACACTTGTGACTTCTCCAGAGAGAGCAGGAACTCTCCCTGGAGCAACTAAATGTCTGTCCAAGCCCTCTGTGAGCACTGATAGCAAATACCAGCAGAGGTGATATGATAATAGAGAAGTTTGCATTAATATCAAAATCTTATCTTTTGTTCTAATGTTGACTGAGAGATTCACTGTGTGTTTATTATTTATTTAAAGCTATTTTACTGTTGTAGTTTTTAGACACTTATTCTGGTTATTCAGAAGACATGTCAACTCACTCAGATTACAGTTTGAACTTCAGTAACAAGAGAAATCGTAGAAGAATTCAGTTTTTACAGACATTCAAAACACCAGAGGCAGTAGCTTGGGCAGACATTTTCCTTTCAGAAGATCAAGAGTTCCCCCATACATCTTCAAACTCAGCCCTTACAGCAACAGAAACCCAGGACGATATTTATATGGAACCCATTAATGATTCTAAAATACCAATGGAGAAAAACAGTAAAGAGAAGATGGCTTTTCCAACAAGACTCACAAGACCATTTGATCTATCCAGAAAATCTGGAGTAATCATGGAAGCAATGTCTCACACACCTGGCTATTCCTTATTCATGGATATTGATCCTTCAAAATCAGGAGGATTCTTGGACAGTCTTGGTACAGCTGCACTACAGCCATTGCTCGTGGACCGTGGTGGTTCCATGCATGAGGAATCAATAATCCAGAGCAAACAGGTGCTTCCAATTCTAGACTGGGTTGGTGAAAAACTAAGGCGTAAACTGCATATGTCCTAAACTGAGGTATGAATAGACTAATTATAATGCAGAACTTCTGTAATATCCCTGCTATTCACCTTATGCTGTCACTAATACAGGATGAAACTTCCAAACAACTTGTACTGGGCGTAGCTAACTTGTGGGGAACGTGTGCTTATGTAGTAATGTTAAAGTCCTTTATTTTGCATAGAGCCCACTCCTAACCAAAAGTATTCACTTTTAGGTAATTCAGCATGTAGAACCAGTATGAATCTTTAATACCTGGCCCCAACCTAAGCCCTGATGCTAACATCAGGTGCCTTTAGGAAAAGGAAGATGTCCTAATGTCCTGCAGCCATATGCTTGCCTGTCTCTCCAGTTGTCAGGCTGGAGGGAGCATGGCTGGTATCCTCCCTCAGTCTACTAGAAGTTTTTCTGTGGGAAGAGGAGCACAGCTCAGCTGCTGCTGGGGTGGGAACTGTCCTTGTGAATAGATTTTGCCGGCAAAGAGAGAAATAAAAAAGCACTTTTCTGTAAGTGGCTTTTGCATGTTCCCATTCTCGGGTCACAGCAGCAGGGCAGCTCTGGATGCTGGGAAGTTTCCTAGCAGCATCTGCTGGAGCTCTCTTCCCCCTCACTATTCCTGAGCCTTCTGAGGGGAAGGCTAAACAAGGGGTCACAGCTCTCTGGCAGCCCTTGTCTGTCCCACTGCTGCAGCAGACAAACCAGGACCCTCTCCGGGATGATCCTGTCTGGATCGCACCTCGGCAAAGACTCAGTGCATTCATTCCATTTCTTAGTCTGTTAGGATCCTCACAGAAATCCATCCCTTCCTAGAAATTAGGGGACGCATCATACTTTGGTATCATACTGCCTATACCCTGCTGATGTAGATGGATCTAGATCCATCAGCAGGGTATAGAGAGTACATCACAATAGGAGTCCCAGATCCAGTTTCAGAATTGAAACTAATGGACCAGTCAGTGAGGACTGAGGTATGTCAAGGGGGAAGCAGGAATTGCTTCAACGTCTTCCCCTTCAGAAGCATGCATACAGATACATTCAGCTTCATGAACTAGTGGTCAGAGCAGCTTCAGCTTTAAAAGGTACCCTCTATGCAGGTAGAAGAAACTTCTCCCCTTGTGTTCAATATTCAGAGATCCTCTTTTAAACACCAAAATCACACTTCAGGTTCTAGAAGGGCTGTTGTGCCAGTCAGACCTATGTGGGCAAATCAAAGTAGCTAAACATGGATGGACAGGAGTGCCTCAATTTGCAGATACTGCAGCAAGCACAGTAACTTTTCAGCCATCACACTGAGGCAACTGCATGGTCTGGTCTTCTGTCTGAATCAGTGCACGTGTGGAATATCTTCCATTCAAAAGTGGTAGTTTATTTACTGTAAGGATAGTTTCAGTCTCATAAAAGATGAAAGACCCTGGATTAACAGCCAGTCAGGCATTTCAGCCACCGAGGGAAGGGTTTTGCATCCTTGTCTTTATGCACCAAATAGCAGAATGTTTTGTTTGGTAATATAATTTATTAGATCAGTTTCACAGTTGCAAGAGAAGGTAGGCAACTTTAAGGCATGAAAAAGACCTTTTTTTTTTTTTTTCATTTTGTCCAGTTATGTGAGGTAGGACATGCTGTTGTACCCAAAAGCTTGCCTAATATTTCATCCAACTATTCAATTTGTTTTATTAGATACATTACTAAACAAATCTTGTTTCTTGCATATTCCCTGGACCATCACAGTTACACACGGTTACAACACTGATCTCTATACTCTAGACCACAATATTCTTTTTCACCTTAAGATTTCACACTGAGTTGTCACTGACAGTAGTGGACACTACTTTGAAACATCCCGCCAGCAGAGGTCCCAAAGGACTCCAGTCACAGCTGGAAAACCTTCATGCAAAAGCTACACAAGATTGCACAGATTCTCTCCTGTGGAATGATTTGTATGATCTAATGGTACAAAGAAACAACATAAAATAGTGGAAAGTCTAAACTGTCTAAGAATAAAACTTACTCCTCTATGTGTGAATAATTAACCGCTGGTGCATTTCTTGGATGATAGAATTTACTCTGTCTCCAGGTTTGTTCACCACCTGCAACTCCTCCCCACCCTATGCCCCTCTTCCGTCATTTAAAACACAGCAGATGCTGTACTTGCCATCATACTGTGTCTTAAAAGTGTTAACTTTTAAGTGCAGCAAGCAGTAGCATGATGTTGCATTTCATTTTACAGCATCCCGTCATTCTGATCATTGGGTTCTGAGATCATATCTAAGGCTATCTTACTTCAGACAAGAAAAACTTTCAGCAACTATGGATGATTTTAAGATAGCTGTGATGAAATAAAGTACAAGGAAAAATATTCCTCATCTAGTCTTATTTTACAGAAGCAAAATGACTCCTACTTTAACTTAATATGGGGCTGTCCATCTGGATGCCCATGAAACACATGCAACTTTCAAGGCTCCCACCTGGCCAACACCCCCCGCACTGCTACATCTGGCATAGTGTACACCCTCAGTGAGTTTGCAGATGACACCAAGGTGGGGGGGACTAGTAGAGACTCTTAAGGGTAGGGCTAGGATTCAGAGTGACATAGACCATTTGGAGGATTAGGCTAAAAGAAATCTCATGAGGTTCAACAAGG